AGAGGTTGTTTTGCTGATCCAGTCAAACTAATTATCTGATGGAGGAGGGTCCTTTGGGAGAACAGTTTGCACAACACAAGCCTCTGAGGTAATGCCTCCTGTGAGATAAAACCCCTCCACCAGCCAGCCTGGAGCATCCTGCTCCCAGGCATCTCTCCTTCAACCCATCGCATGGGCTCCAGGATGAGCTGCAGGCACCGCATCCACCACCACCTTCCTCTTTAACCAAGCAGGTACAAAAGGGTTTGATGGGTGGTGGGTCCAGTTTGACCCTGGTCCTGCTGCCTCTCCCATGCTTGATGGCATGTTGAATTTCACTCTTCTTCAGGGACTGTAGCGATAGGGCAAGGGGTGATGGGTTTAAACTAAAACAAGGGAAATTCAGGTTGGAGATAAGGCAGAAGCTCTTCCCTGTGAGGGTGCTGCGGTGCTGGCACAGGGTGCCCAGAGAAGCTGTGGCTGCCCCATCCCTGGCAGTGTTCAAGGCCAGGTTGGACACAGGGGCTTGGAGCAAGCTGCTCCAGTGGAAGGGGTCCCTGCCCATGGCAGTGGGTTGGGACTGGGTGAGTTTTAATTTCCCTTCGACCCAAACCATTCCATGATAGCCCATGCTGTGAATAAAAGTGCCCTAGTATGACTAGTGGGTTTGCTTCAAAAACCCCCCACATTCCTGACCCCATGCACAAGTGATTCAGGGTTATTTTAGCAGCTATGTAGCCATTCATAGATGGATGTTCCATTAGATAATTCATATGCAGAGGTATTGAAGGGCAGAGATGAGAATATCCAAGCTAAAGCTTTAAAATTTTGGTTTATATATCATATATTTAACACCTTCAGGTGCATATTTGGGTTGCTCATAGCACGCTCAATGCAATCAAAGCAAAGCTCTGCTGGAGCCAAGACCACTGCTTTCCCTTAACCTTATGCAGGGTGGGGGTTCTTCAAAAGCAAATAAGCTTAGAACTTAAATGAAAGAAAATTTCAAGTACTTGTCTTTGTGTTGTGATGAAAAGGATGCTCCCCAACTAATGAAGCTACAGAAGAGCACTCATCCAGTTGGAAATATACAAAAGAGAGAGAAAAGTATTCCTTAAAATTCCCAGAAACAAAGAAAATACAAAAAAAAAATCAAAAATCCTTAAAATTCCCAGAAATCAGCGAAGAAAATACAAAATCTTTTCTGTTTTCCACATTTTGAGATGTATATATTTGTATTGTATTATACTTTGATAGACACGATGTTCTTCAGTGTATCAGTTGTGCAGTGTAGATCAATCATTGTAGAATTATTCTCTTTTAATTTCAGGCTCTGTAATGAGCTCCTTCACTTCTCTGACTTCAGATCTTAGGCTGCCGACATAAATACAGCATTACAAATACACCGTTTTCCGTTGCATTTACTTTGTGGATTAAACTCCAACTAAACTTCCACATTATTTCTCTCGCAGGGGTTTATTTCACTGATTCCTTTCATTTCCATCCAGATCCATCAACTTGTTGAAATGACGGATACAGGAAACCTCACTGTTTTCTCCAGCTTCATCCTCTTGGGTTTCTCTGATGCCCCAGAGCTACAAACCACCATCTTCACAATCTTCTTATCCCTCTATGTTTTCATGGTGCTGGGGAACCTGACGATGATCCTGCTGATCAACACTGACCCCCACCTCCACATCCCCATGTACTTCTTCCTGACCCATTTATCTTGCATGGATGTTTGCCTTTCCTCTGCTATCATCCCAAAAGCTCTGGAGACCTTCCTGCTGGGGAGAAGCCACATCTCCTTTTGGGGTTGCTTTGCCCAGATGTATATTTTCGTGGCTCTGGCTACCTGTGAGAGCTTTCTCTATGGGGTAATGGCTTACGACAGATACACGGCTGTGTGCAAGCCCCTGCTCTACACCACTACCATGACCAGGGCGCGTTGCTATGGCATGATGGTGCTGGTGTACACCATCGGGTTCGTCACCTCCCTGGTGCACATCACGCTGGCAGGGAGGTTGTCCTTCTGTCAGGCCAGGAGCATCAACCACTTCTTCTGTGAGCTGCCCACCCTCCTGCAGCTCTCCTGCTCAGACACAAGCACAAATGAGGTCTTGCTTTTTTACAACACTGTGTTTAATGCCATGGTCTCTCTCCTGATGATCCTGGTGTCCTACACCTACATCCTCCACACCGTCCTGCAGATCCCTTTGGCCACGAGGAGGCTGAAGGTCTTCTCTACCTGCGCCTCCCACTTGGCTGCCATCACCATCTTCTACGCACCCGGAATCCTCACCTACATCCAGCCTCATGAGGCATCCTCATGGGATCAGGGAAAGCTGGTGTCGGTGTGTTACTGCATCCTCACCCCAACCCTCAACCCCCTCATCTACAGCCTGAGGAACAAGGAGGTGAAGGGGGCTCTGAGGAGGCTGTGGGAGCGAAAGCTGCTGCCACATCTCTGCAGGGTTTGAAAGCACATTTGGAGCTCTTCAGTACTGTGGAGGTAAGGAAGGAATATGTGGAATATGTGATTATGGAATTGAGCATTACTGGCCATTATTGGTCATTATAGCTCACTACTGGTGCAGTGGTATGGAGAACCAGCACAACGAATGGTTCTCTTCAAACAGCTTCAGGTTGTTTTAAGCAAGGCCTGAGCCTTCAGTAATTCATCCAAATAAGTATCAGGTATTTAATAGCAGGACTGAGACAGCACCATGGTGTTTTGTGTTTAAATTGAGCTAAATGAAATTAGTGCCCACAAAAAGGGGGCTCAGACTTCACATAAGGCACTGACCACTGTCTCCATTGCCTGCTTTATAAGCATTTCCTCAATGATGAACTGGGGGAAGGTCAAGAGGATTTGATACAGCTCTGGTGTCCTCAGCACAAAGTGGACGTGGAGCTGCTGGAGCAAGTCCAGAGATGCAAGAAGGATGCTCAGGGGCTGGAGCAGCTCCTGTATGGAGCCAAGCTGAGAACATTGGGTCTGTGCAGCCTGGAGAAGAGAAGCTGTGTGGAGACTTCAGAGCAGTTTCCAGTGTCTGAAGGGGGCTACAAAAAGCCTGCAGGAGGGCTTTGGACAAGGGCCTGTAGGGCCAGGTCAAGGGGAATGGCTTGAACCTGCCCGAGGGGAGACTGAGATGAGCTCTTAGGCAGAAGTTCTTCACTGGAGGGTGCTGAGGCACTGGCACAGGGTGCCCAGAGAAGCTGTGGCTGCCCCATCCCTGGCAGTGTTCAAGGCCAGGTTGGACACAGGGGCTTGGAGCAAGCTGCTCTGGTGGAAGGTGTCCCTGCCCATGGCAGGGGTTGGACTGGATGAGCTTTAATGTCCCTTCCAACACAAACCACTCTGGGACTCTGTGATACCTGATGTGAGCATCCAATACATTTATCCCATGTAACTGAGCTGGAGCAGTGCTAAGGACTTGTGACAGGCACACATAGGTTAGCATGTGGCCAGAAGTGTGTCCCAACTAAAATCTTCCTGGGATGTGTGGTCCTTACATCTTTTCCTTTCTGGATGCTCAGTACCAGGTCTGTGCTTTGTGGATTTGACCATGTCACATCCCCTTCTGTATGTCATCGCATTATTGAGGGGGAAGATGCTCTAAATGAAACAGTAGATGGAGGGGTTTTAACATTTAATCCAAACACACCATTTCTATTTAATGAACTGTACAATTGCTGGAAGAACATGTACTTGTACAATGACAAAGTGAATAAATTTGTGGTTTAAAATAAGCACCTTTGGAAACCGTGGTCTTCTGCAAAGAACTGTGATGAATAATGAATGAAAGCAATGGCAACCAGTCAAAATCTAATTTAAGTTGGTGTGAAGAGAAATGCTCACTTTCTAAGCTTTTAATCAAAGTTTCTGATGGAGTTTTCATGAAAAATAGAGACATTTGGACAAGTCCCTCAAGAAAAGAGAACACAACATGTGAAGCAACTTATTCAGAGAGAATAAGAGAGGGACTCTTCATCAGGGCCTGTAGGGACAGGCCAAGGGGAATGGCTTGAACCTGCCTGAGGGGAGACTGAGCTGAGCTCTGAGGCAGAAGCTCTTCCCTGGGAGGGTGCTGAGGCGCTGGCACAGGATGCCCAGAGAAGCTGTGGCTGCCCCATCCCTGGCAGTGCTCAAGGCCAGGTTGGACACAGGGGCTTGGAGCAAGCTGCTCCAGTGGAAGGGGTTGGGGTTGGAGCTGGAGGAGCTTTAAGCTCCCTTCCAAGCCAAACCATTCCATGATTCAATGATGTCAGGGACAGAGAAAGGATGCATGCAAGAATTAATGGTGTCCCATTCTTTTTGGCTTGATGCCTCCTGCCAAGTTCTCCATGTGCTTTATCTTGCAGATGAGGGTAAATCTGAGATTTCCTATTGTGAATTTGCAGCATGGGAAATTCCAGTTAGAAACAGAGGGAGGGGGAAAACCCCACTGTAAGAGCAGTCAAACACTGACATAGGGGCCAGGGAGGGTGTGAAACCTCTGCCCCTGCTTGTCCCCAAGGCTCAGGAGGAAAACAACTGTCATCTGGGTTAAATAATAACCAGGGAGTTATCAGGAAGCTTTGGGAACAAAGCAGGATTCAGCTGATTGACCCTGGGTGCCTGTGAGTTGTGTGTTGTTAAGAAATCAGCAAACACTTTGATCCTGACTTAACTGAATCCAGCCATGGACCTTCTCCCTCCAGCCTAGGTTATTGTGGTTCTTTAGGATAGCCCTAAGGCTCAGCCATGGCTCCAGGTTTCACCACGGTCCTGGCAGAGGCTGCAGCTCCATGGGCTGAGGTAATGCACACAGTGGAGTATTTTGGGGTGGTTTATGTATGCAATGTGTGTCCATCACCCATCAGCTCTCTGTGAAGGAAAGCAACAGGAGAGACATCAGGGCGGCAATGCCATTGCTCCAGGCTGCCGTGGGCTGCCACGTAGGAGGTCTGAAGGCTGATGAACAACACCACAGCTCCTGTGCTCTGTTGTGGTCAGGCTGCCATGGAGATCATGGCTTCTATTGCTGCCAACGGGGCAATGGTAAGCAAAGGTGAGGAGCAGTGGAGAGAGATTCCTTGGAAATGCTGATGGTCTGTCCCACGCCATTGGTCAGCCCCACGAGGTACGAGCCAGTCACCATCTGGAAACAGCACTTTGGGGACATGACAAGGGGGTACAGCAGGGGATGGCAAATGGCCACGTAACGGTCATAGGCCATCGAAGCCAGCAGGAAGTACTCAGTCATCCCAAAGATATCATAGATGAAGACCTAAGCCACACAGCCAGCATAAGCAATGCTCTTCTTCTCTGACATCAAGTCAACCAACATCTTGGGGCTGATGATGCTGGAGAAACAGAGGTCTACAAAGGCCAGGTTGCCCAGGAAATAATACATGGGGGAGTGGAGGTGGGGGCTGGCCCTGATTAAGATGATGATGCCCAGGTTGCCCACGATGGTGACAAGGTAGGTGAGCAGGAAGAGCAGGAACAAGTTGAGCTGAGTCACCGGGTCCTGTGTGAAGCCTGCCAGGCTGAACTCGGTCACCTTGGGTGCAATTGCTTTGTGCCATGGGCTGGATGGTGCTTTGTGGGTGAGCTCCTGGCTGGAGGTTTCTTCTCCAAGAGGCAGGGATGTCCCAGGTGGAAAAGCCTCTGTGTGGTGGGAGCTGCTCAGAGACAGTCCTGCAGGATGGAAAGGGAGAGTTCAGGCAGAGCTCAATGAGGAACAGGTTGGTGAAAGTCCTGTGCCAGCACAGGTAGAACAAAGGGGTGCTCAAGCAGTTAAACACCATGGCACAATGTGGTGCCTGCTCCTCTGGCTCACTTCTGGATGTTGAGCAATGACCTCTGTGGAAAGCAGTGGGCAGGTTCCACTCACCTGAGTAGCTTTACATTAGTGCTGCACTTCATTGGCTGCGTTACTGCTGAGGCAGGGGCTTGGAGACCATCCGGCTCCACCTGGAACCCAGAGAAACGTGGTGCTTTCACAGTGCACAGTTGATCCTTCATCCTCTCATGGGCATTGGCCAACCACCCGCTTCTTCCCTCTTTCCTTGGGTTTCTTCCTAACTGGAACGAATTCCTGACCTATGGAAAGTGCAGGTTGGACAGGGCAACCTGCTCTAGTGGAAGGTGTCCCTGGCCATCACAGGGGCTTGGAACTGAGTGAGATTTAAGCTCTCTTCCAACACAAGACATACTATGATCCTATGCAACCTTACACAATGGTTAATATAGGTTTCCTCTCCCTCCTGACACAATTTGTCAGATCTAAAAACTTTTCATGGTTCTTTAACCTGTTCCTTGAGTCTCCAATAGAAATGGGCAATCCCCAGAGCTCAGCAATTTCTTCTTGCACACATGTTTTGGGGGAAAAAAGTCATCTTTTGGAGCTGCCTCATCTCAGCAATGGGGAGCACCCTGAATGTCCCGTACAGGAAAGCTTCTGGTACTCACCCAGGAAACCTTTGTGCTCAGAGGTGAGGAAGCCTCCTGAGGGTGCTCTCCACCAGGGTGATCTCCAAACCTGCCTTCTCAGCAGCAGCATGGGGATGGGATATGTGTATGAATGTGTAGAGATGTGATGGATACAGGGGAGATGTGCACAGATATGATCCTCCTTGCTTTGCATCTGTCCTGGTCCCAAATCCTCTCACTGCTCACACAGCCCTCGTGGCCACCCTGCAGCACATGGAGGGCAGAGGCTCTCCTCTCCTCTATGATGGACGTAAGAAGGATTTAGGCACTGATCCCAAAGAAGTGAAAGCTGAGTCCCAGATGGATCCAGCTCCATGCCGAGCAAGGGGGGATTTCAGCCCTTGCCCAGTGCCTCCATCACCAGGGCACCACCAGGGGCAGAAGCCATCAGCATCCATAGGAGAATGTCCCTTGTTTCCTGCAGAGCCCCAGCATCCTTCATCCTGCCCCATGGTGTGCAGTGAGGTGCTGGAGTTTGCAGTTTGAAAGATGTCACAATGCAGGTTTGAAGCTATCACCTGGAGATGCTGACAGCTTTGGAAGATATTTTTGACAGGGCTAGCAAGGAGCCAGGTTCTAATGTCAAGTGTAGATCAGAAAAGACCAAGACACGGGGAAAAAAAAAATAACCACTAAGGGCAATAAAAGAGTGTAGATAAATCAGATTATCTGTGGTCTTTTTGCACAAACCAGTCATAGGAAGAAAGCAAGACCTAGAAATGGTTCCAAAGCAAGCCTGGAAGCCTAAGGAAGAGGTTGGGGAAACCAAAGTCCCTGGTGTCACTGAAGCTCTGGTGTCCTCTGTCACAAAACCAGCAGATAAACATCATCCCAAAGATACTTCCAAACCAAAGTGTTGCCAATCTGCTGAAGAACCAAAGGAGAACACCCTGGTGTGCAGGGACCATCCCACGGTACCTGAGCAAGACAAGCAGGGCAGGAACACAGACCTGGGCCAAGTTCAACCACAGCTCCAGAGCATCAGGAAAGCTGGTGATGAGGAGGCAGATTCAAGACCAAACCAAGTCAGGTCGAGTCAGTCCCTTTTTTGGGATCAGGTGAAAAAATTGTGAGCAAGACAGATGAGAAACCCTAGGTGACCACCAAAAGATTGCATAGGTGTGCTGAACTCCTACTAAACTGGAAACCAGAACTCCTCTAGTAAAGCTCAATCTGCCTGTTCTGAGCTTAAATAGAGATGGGGGAACAATAGGAGGAGGGTGGGGATGGAGCCCCAGCTGAGGCTGGTCAGGGGGATAAAGGCCTGTTAGTTCACCCTGGGACAATTCCTCCCTGCCTCAACACGCCAGTTTTTCATCCTTGAATACAGTGGAAGTCCAGAGGCACCAGCTCAGCCACTGGACATCCAGGCACTACATGTGGGTAACCCCACTGGGGCTGGAAAACTGGGTTCACCCTCCACAGAGGGACATCAGCAGCTCCAGAGATGGAGTCACTTGTTCTTCATGTCCCATTTGAGGACCGTGTGCAAGATCTGGAATGTCTCCAAACCCATTTTCCTTGTGTCAGTATGGTCAGACCAAAACATTTGCATGGTCCACAAGTATGTCAGAAGCATCCTATGAGCTGCTCATCACTGCTGCTGTGCAGCTGTGCTCAGGCTTGGCTCACCCACTCCATGTCTCTCAGATGCCCAAGCACCACAATGCCTTTCAGAGGTGATTTCACACCCTTTGCTTTTCCTTCTCTTTGTTTTCCTGTGGTAAATCATGAGCAGCCCTGGAGGCTTCCTCCCAGGAGAGCACATGCAACTGTATTTACAGCCCCAGCACCACAAGCTGGGCTCTTGGAGTCTGGCAGGAGCTCACCTCTCTTCACATCAGGTGCTTAACAGAGCTGATGCCGGCACGTAGATGTTCTCTGCTGCGTTGGGGATAAACCCTTGGCTCCCATCACTCGGTGGCAGAGGGAAGGCACAGGAGGTAACACCAACACAAAGCAGAGCCTCACCTGCATTGAGGCAGTGGGCTTGTGTCTGCATGTTCTAGTGTCTTCTTTGGTAAAGGTGTGTCAGAAAACAGCCTTACCAGTGTGTGTTTTCTTTATAAGAGGGAGTAAGGTTGGTGCAGGTTGTGTTTCTTTTGCATAGGCAGCTAAAGCAAGATGCACTGATTTATTCAAGAATTAAATGAGGATGACTCTTATTCTGTTATACAGAAATGCAACAGTTCAGGTTGTCAGCAGAACATAATCACTAACAAATGAGCCTTTGGAATCAGCCTGTTAGAACCTAAATACCTTTTTAAAGCAAGAAACTTAATGCCTGTTGTAACTCAGAAGGGAATAATTCATGAATTTACCAATGTTCATGTTATTTAATGTAAACGATCTCAAATAGTTTAGTAAATGTGATTTGGTGACTGGAATGATAAAAGCCAAGGGAAAATGTCTGGAGTTCATGCATGTGGAAGCTGGGCTTTCACTGCGACTGAGAATTTCTCTTGCTCCACGATTACATGCAATCCTATGCATTCAAAATGAAGGTGAATATAGATCTGAATCTTTGCTCAAACCTGAAAACACGTGTGCTTGAGTAACTCCAGAGTTTTAACTATTCCAGCACAGAAAAACAAAAATGCCCTTTTTTGCTTCAAGAAGCTCCCTGTTCTTTTCTAAACACCTTACCTGAAAAACACAAAATAGATATAATTTTGGTTAGAAAATACATTGGAAAATTCTATTTGCAGTTATTCTATGGCAGTTAAAATGGTCACTGATTGGAGTTAGATATGGTCCAAATCTGAATTTGTCCATTTTTGATCAGTTTGATGTTTCTTTTCCTTTTGCCTCAGCAGGGAACATCTGGTCATGGCAGGAAATCACACGCAGACTACATTTATCCTGTTGGGAATTACAGACAGCCCATGTCTGCAGACTCCTCTTTTTGTCTTGTTTCTAGTGATTTACATTGTCACTCTGGTGGGGAACGTTGGCATTGTCACATTGGTGCTGGTGTCTCCCAGCCTCCACACCCCCATGTACTTTTTCCTCACCCATTTTGCCTTCACTGACATCTGCTGTTCCACAGTCATCTCCCCCAGGATGCTGGCAGACCTGTTATCAGAGGACAGAACCATTTCTTTCTCTGGCTGCATGATGCAGTTCCTCACTTTTATTTTCTTTGGCAGTGCCGAGTGTCACCTCCTGGCCATGATGGCCTACGACCGGCACGTTGCCATCTGCCAGCCCCTGTTTTATGTGACCATCATCTCCAGACGTGTCTGCTGGCAGCTGGTAGCATCATCCTACCTATTCGCCTTCCTCACTGCTACCATCTGCACATGGTGCCTGTTTGGAGGTTCCTTCTGTGGACCCAAACACATTGACCACTTCCTCTGTGACATCGTACCTGTGCTTAAACTCCTCTGCCCTAATAACTACAGCAGTGAGATGGTCATCTTTGCCTTTCTCACCATCAATGTGGTGGGCACGAGCGTGCTCATTTTGCTCTCCTACATCTCTATCATCCGCACTGTGCTGAGGACGTGCTCAGCAGAGAGCAGGGCCAGAGCCTTTCGTACCTGCACCTCCCATTTGGCGGCTGTTTCCATGTACTTTGGGACAGCATTCTTCATGTACCTACAACCTCCATCAAGCCACAGGAGCCTGGATAAGGTGGCCTCCATCTTCTATGCTTTGCTCACCCCCATGCTCAACCCATTCATTTATAGCCTGAGGAACAGGGAGGTGAAGACGGCTCTGGTCAACTGTGGGAGGAGATTGCTCAGCAGATGGTAACATAAAAGAGTTGTATCATCTAGGACACACAGTTCATCTAAAGTGAGAAAGCCTTTGGAGCATGAAAAAAATGGGATTTTCCACTAATACTCATCATTTTATATAGGTTCATCCACAACTCCTGCACATGAGTCAATGACAGTATTGAATGAGAAATACACACCCCAAATCACATCTTCCTTGGAAGGAAACCAAGAGGAGAGGAACCTCAAACTTCATTTCACTTTGCAGTCACCAGCCTGGGGGAAGAGTTTACCCTCAATTATCCCAGGCCTCTTTTCCTCACAGGAAACACCAATCAGCTTTATCCCATTACAACTTTTGTCACTGATAAATATCTATTTTTCTTGCCAGATTCTTGACCTTGTCCCTCAGCTCCAATAAAATTCCTCACTCTTACCTGTGAGCTCTTTATTAAAGCTGCTGGGGTGGCAGGGAAGAGGAAGTGTAGTTTTACATCTGCTTGTTGAAAAAAAGTCACAGAAAAGGTTTTAAAAGATTTATTGCATTTGTTTGTGCCTTTCAAAGAGAAGAAGCTGGTGGGAATGAAGATCTCAAGCTGCACCTTTGAATATCAAGGGGAATCCCTCCCCAGGCTTCAGCTTCAGACTAGATTTCACTTCAATTAAGGAAAAGTAGAAAATATAACTCCTAATGCAGATTGATGAACTGTGCTGAGACTACCCAGTGTTAAGGACAAACTGGGCATATCAAGCGGTCCTCCTATTCATTTGAAGTGGTGTTTTACACTCTTTTAAAGTGTCCTTTACTTAAATGGTGAGATAAATGGAATTCCAGCTGGAGATAAGCACCCACATCCCATGTCCATGCCCAGCTCACACTAAAGCACACCAGGAAACACCAAGTGGTGGCTTGCACTTATAAATACAGCATGAGGCAAGTTTCCATTAGTGAAAGACAATCCTGAGCCCAGAATCAATGGTAACTGAGAGCTGTCTGGGTCAGAAAGAAGCAAAAAAACACTGGTGTGGGAAAATGTTTTTCCTTTACCTCTTGTGAGGGAGAATTAACTTCTATTTGGGAAGCACGTGGGTCATGAACAATGTCTTTTGTGTGCTCTGGAAAACAGCAGAGAGAGGTGTGTGGAAAAGTGGCTTCTGTCTGTGGTCAGTGAGGGAGCCAGAATCGATGTACTTACTTGCTGATGAGCTTGGCAGGACAGAGACTTTGATATCAGAGAGCTTCTTGAAAACCTTCACCACACCTTGGTTCTTTGCTTCTTTCTTGCATATTGTAGCTGAGACATGTAGAATATATACAAATAGAATCATAGAGCCACAGAAAACCCAAGTTTCACCTCAAGAGATCATCTGCTCCAAGCTTTAATGGGAAAGGGAGCCTGGATGAGAAGTGTCACGTGGAGGGCTCATCCCTGCTTGATGAATTACCCCACTCTGGTGTTCTTAGCCCCTCTTTGGTTTAAGAAAGATTCCAAAGCAGAGACAGCTGCAATACATAAAGGTTTACCTAGACTTGGTGCTACATTGCTAAGGGAGGTCTGGATTGCTATAGTCTTGCGTGTGGTGGATCCAACTCGGGGAACTCCCAAGAGGAACCTCAGTCGAACGTACAGGGGAAGAACAGCTGTCAATTCCAGCAACAAGAAACAGGCTTGGGGTTCTGAAAATACGTTTGATGACAAAAGCATCATTGCATGATTCTGCTTCAATCTTTGCAGAGAACGGATCTACAAAATTCAGAATGCCCTGGCTGTAGACACAAAATTCCCATATCAGGTAAATAACAGAGGTCCTGCCATAGAAGCCCAATATTATACTTGGTAAAAAAAATTAACTAATGACCAGAATAAAACACCAGGAAATAAAGTTCCCCTTACTACTCTATTTCTGTCACTGAGAAGAGCAACTCCTTTTTTACCCATGCAGGGATGTGGTCTAGATGGAGAGGGAATGCCACGGCAGTGAGCACTGGCTGGGCTGTTGCATGCAGAAGGTGATGGGTTCTACTCTGCAGGAGCCTGAGGACTGCCTTGACAACAAGCAAAATCCACCCAGAGCATCAATCTCTTCATGTCCAGGTGCACTAATAAAGACCAGGAACAATATGCTGTAAATATGTGGATTTAAGGAGATGTCTTCCTCCTACTCCCACATTGAGGAGAGGGAGTGGGTGACAAGTGAACGTCTACATGATTCACCCCTGATTATTCTCATGACTTTATCAACTGCCTTTCCTAATGCTACTTAAACAGAATTTCAGCAACGCAAAGAGAGTTCCTGCAACCATTCCTACTCTCACAGTTGCCCCTTGTTATCATCTTCCTGTAAAACCCATTCCAAATGTTGATTTTTGCCTTTGCTGACTTGACTAAGACAGTAATTGTCCCCACACCAAGTTTTTATCATTTCCTTGGGGTTTTTGTTTCATTTTCCTATGAGCAGTGATGAGAAGAGAAAGGAAACAGCAAGCACCTGAATTCAAATCAACAGGAGAACTGCAGTAGTACCTAAACAAAATTCTTTTGACTGATATCTGTCCAGTAGGTCCAAGTCTTGTGACACGTATTACCCACCATACTGTGGTCTTGGTGTATGGATTTATGAAACACTTCCCTGTCTAATTTCTTCAAGAGATTTTAGTTTATGGAGCTGGAGATGTCGCTCTATTAGTTTGTTTCATAGAATCCCAGACTGGTTTGGGTCAAAAAGAACCTTAAAGCTCATCCAGCTCAAACCCCTGCCACAGGCAGGGACACCTTCCACTAGAGCAGCTTGCTCCAAGCCCCTGTGTCCAACCTGCCCTTGAACACTGCCAGGGATGGGGCAGCCACAGCTTCTCTGGGCACCCTGTGCCAGCGCCTCAGCATCCTCACAGGGAAGAGCTTCTGCCTAAGAGCTCATCTCAGTCTCCCCTCAGGCAGGTTAAAGCCTTTCCCCTTGTTCTGTCCCTACAGGCCCTTGTCCAAAACTCCCCTTCAGCTTTCTCACACTCCCCCATTAAGGTATTCAAAGCCCACAGTAAAGTCTCCCTGAAGCCTTTCCCCCTCTTGCTGCCCATTACAGTCCTTCTATCACACTCTCCATCTGATCCTTCCCATCTCCTTTCTTCCACTATCAGGCACCTCTCCCTCAAGCTCTCCTTTCTGCCTTAACTTCCCAGCACAATGGGTGGAAAAAGGTTAACACCACCATCAAGGAGAGCACAAGGACTGGGGCTGCCTCAGGCCCCAGGGATTTTAAGAAACAAAATCCCCAGGAAAGCCTTTCCAGGCAGATTAAGGATAGGAGGGTGACCATGAGTAAGCGGAATGGATGTACCAAGGGTAAGTTAAGCCTTGGGTGATGTGAACATTGATGTTTGCGTGGACAAGAAGTAGTGGACAGCATTTACCTCACTGTTAGCAAGGTCACCACGATATTCTGCTGGCTCTTTGAAGCCAAACTTGTGAGCTATGGTTTGAGTATACGGAATTGAAGACGGGTGGAAAGCTGGTTCAGTGCCTGTGGTGCCTGATGTTGCTGATGGATCCTGGCACCAGCTCTCATTGATAAGTTCCCCATTACCTCCCTGCCATGATAATGTCAACCACAGCCCTTGTGGACCTGTAACTGCCTCAGAAATGCTCCAAAAGTGGATGTCAAAGATGGAGTTGTTCTTTGGTTTCCTCTAAGGGAGCCCAAAGCCCTGTTGCTCACCCAAGCTGAGGTCATCTCCTCTGGGTACACTTCTTCTCCAAACGTAGCAGAACAGAGAAGAGATAATGACTTGCTTTGGGCTTTGTCATCTCCTGGGGCCCAAAGAGATTCACAGTCCCACATCCCCACATCACTTGAAATAGGAAGGAGGTTTGCTGATGCTGGTCCATTTCCAGGCTCCCTGCACAGCTCCAGGAACATTCATCTACACATCCATCTCTGAGAGCAACAGGAGGGCAGAAGAGACAGAGCTGAGATGTAAGTGAAGGATGGCATCTTTCAGCCCATTCTGAGTTCTCTGTGCAAGGACAGTGTGTGTTGAGACACCATCTCCTGTGGTTCTCTCTTGCCAACAAGCAGCAGCTCCTGTCTTCATCTCCTGCCCTACTGCAGGGTCCTGGGCTTCTTGATGATGCTCTGGGCTTCCCAGGGAGCTGCTTGTGCTGTGTGCTCCCCATGCTGCTGCTGAGAAGGCAGGTTTGGAGACCACCCTGGTGGAGAACACTCCCAGGAGGCTTCTTCTTACTAACCACAAAGGGCTCCTGGATGAGCACTTCAGGCTTTCCTGTACAGGACATTCAGGGTGCTCCTCATTGCTGAGATGAGACAGATCTGAAAGAGGACTTTTTTCCCTACAAATCAAAATATCAAGGACGGATTGCTGAGCTCTGGGGGTTGCCAGTTTGTATTGTAGTGTCGAGATTCAGGCTAAAGACCCAGGAAAAGGTTTTAGAGCAAACAAAGTGTGTCAGGAGGAGGGGGAAAACCAACCTAAACCTCTGTGTAAGAATGCATAGGTTAATAGTATGGTTTTGATTGATAGGAACTTAGAACTGATCCAACTCCAGCCGCTTGCCATGGGCAGGGTCACCTTTCACTAGAGCAGGCTGCTCCAATTCCCTGCAAACTGCACTTTACATAGTTCAGGAACTGATTACAATTTCTAATTAGGAAGAAGTCCCAGCAGAAAAGGAAGAAGTGGGTGGTTGGGAAACGCTGACGAAAGCATGAAGGATCAACTCTGCACTGTGAAAGCACCACGTTTCTCTGTGTTCCAGGTGGAGCCAGATGGTCTCCAAGCCCCAGGTTCAACACTAATGCAGCCAACGAAGTGCAGCACTAAGGTAAAGTCACTCAGGTGAGTGGAACCTCACCTTTCCACAGAGGTCATTGCTCAACATCCAGGAGTGAGCCAGAGGAGCAGGCACCACGTTGTGCCATGGTGTTTAACTGCTTGAGCACCCCTTTGTTCTACCTGTGCTGGCACACGACTTTCACCAACCTCTTCCTCATTGATCTGTGCCTGAACTCTCCCTTTCCATCCTGCAGGACTGTCTCTGAGCAGCTCCCACCACACAGAGGCTTTTCCACCTGGGACATCCCTGCCTCTTGGAGAAGAAACCCCCAGCCAGGAGCTCACCCACAAAGCACCATCCAGCCCATGGCACAAAGCAATTGCACCCAAGTGACCGAGTTCAGCCTGGCGGGCTTCACAGAGGACCCGGTGACTCAGGGCAACTTGTTCCTGCTCTTCCTGCTCACCTACGTTGTCACCATTGTGGGCAACCTGGGCATCATCATCTTAATCAGGGCCAGCCCCCACCTCCACTCCCCCATGTATTATTTCCTGGGCAACCTGGCCTTTGTAGACCTCTGTTCTTCCACCATCATCACCCCCAAGATGTTGGTTGACTTGATGTCAGAGAAGAAGAGCATTGCTTATGCTGTGTGGCTCAGGTCTTCCTCTTTCAGCTTCTTTGGGATAACTGAATACTTCCTGCTGGCTTCAATGGCCTATGACCGTTACGTGGCCATTTGCCATCCCCTGCTGTACCCCCTTGTCATGTCCCCAAAGTGCTGTTTCCAGCTGGTGACTGCCTCGTACCTCATGGGGCTGACCAATGGCATGGGACAGACCATCAGCATGTCCACCCTGTCCTTCTGCAGCTCCAGCACCATCGACCTCTTCTTCTGTGACATTTCCCCTCTCATCTCACTCTCCACCTCTGACACCACCCTCAGCCACATCATCCTGACCACTGCAGCATCTCTCTTTGGTGTGTCCAGCAGCCTGGTTATCCTGCTCTCCTACGTGGCCATCATCGCCACCATCCTGAGCATCAATTCAGCCGAGGGCAAGCGCAAAGCCTTCTCCACCTGCACCTCCCACCTCACCACTGTCAGCATCTTCTATGGGGCATGCTTTTTTATGTATTTATTCCCCAGCTCTGAAAGCTCAAGGGCAGCAGATAAATGGGCTGTGGTGCTCTACACCGTGGTGACTCCCATGCTGAACCCCTTGATCTACAGCCTGAGGAATAAGGAGGTGAAGGAGGCTTTGAGGAAGCTCACAAAAATAAGATGATCTTGAATGGTGCAAGCTTAGGGCCAGACAGAATGGAGATGTGGGGTAGATGCTCGGGTATTGGTTAAGTATGGACAACATGTTGGGGGTCTTCTGCACCCAGACTTATGTGATGCACTGGTTAATATGATTGAAAATACAAATAATTTCACTCTCTAAACTTTGATAATTCTATTTTGTAGTTAATTTCACCTAATTAGTTAATTTGTACTTTATTTCACTTAACGAAGACACAGGTAGACAACTACAAGCATGCACTTCTCTTCATCTTAGGGTAAGGGGGGGACCTTATCGCTCTCTACGCCTGCCTGACAAGAGGATGGAACCAGGAGGGGACTGTTCTCTGCTCTCAAGGAACAAGGGATGGGACAAGAGGAAACGGCCTCAAGCTGCACCAGGGCAGGTTTAGATGGAGCTGAGGAACAATTCCTGCCCCAGAGGGTGCTCAGGCATTGGAACAGGCTGCCCAGGGCAGGGCTGCAGGCACCGGCCCTGCAAGTGCTCACAAACCCTATAGACAAGGCCCTCAGTGCCATGGGTTAGGGGTGGCCTTGACAGGGCAAGGGAACACTTGGAGTGCGTGAACTTAAAGCTCTTTTCTTTTTTGCTCTCCCTTTTGCTTGGCAAATGAGAATAAACTGTGAATTCTACCATTCCACTGGATCAAACTTCATTTCATAATGGTGTTGTTAAATCATTAAGGGCCTTAAGAAAAGGACAAAAACACCTTCAGCAAGAAAAACAGAAATGATAGCAAATAAGTGTGATGCCATGCAGGCAGTATTTTTAGGTTTTGATGGACAAAAAGATTTCCAGCACCATACATCTCATTTCATTTTAGACAGCAAAGAATTTAAGTGAAATATGGTACTTGTGTGACCTCTGTTATGAATGAAGGCACTTTGTAAGCGTTTTAAGACACGATAGTGATGAAGGGCAAGGGCAGAAACTATCAAGGAATCCCCATCCACTGCTCCACACCTTTGCTTTCCATTCCCCTGTTGGCAGGAATAGAAGCCATAATCTCCATGGAAGCCTGACCACAACAGAGCACAGGAGCTGTGGTGCTGTTCAGCAGCCTTCAGACCTGATACGTGGCAGCCCTTGGCAGCCTGGAGCGATGGCATTGCCTGCCCTGATGTCTCTCCTGTTGCTTTCCTTCACAGAGAGCTGAATGGTGATGGGCAAACACAGTATACATAAAACACCCCAAAACACATCACTTTGTGCATTACCTCAGCCCATGGAGCTGCAGCCTCTGCCAGGACCGTGGTGAAACCTGGAGCCATGGCTGAGCCTTAGGGCTATCCTAGACACACATAATAACCTAGGCTGGAGGTAGAAGGTCCATGGCTGGATTCAGTTAAGTCAGGATATAAGTGGTTTGCTCATTTCTTAACAACACACAACTAGCAGGCACCCAGGGTCAATCAGCTGAATCCTGCTTTGTTCCCAAAGCTTCCTGATAATTCCCTGGTTATTATTTAACCCAGCCAAAGGTTGTTTTCCTGCTGAGCCTTGCAGAGAAGCAGGGGCAGAGGTTTCACACCCTCCCTGGCCCCTATGTCAATGTTTGACTGCTCTTACAGTGGGGTTTTCTAACTCCCTCTGTTTCTAACTGGAATTTCCCATGCTGCACATTCACAATAGGAAATCTCAGATTTATCCTCATCTGCACGATAAAGCACATGGAGAACTTGCTGGTGGCATCAAGTCAAAAAGAATGGGACACCATTAATTCTTGCATGAATCCTTTATTATTAACATGATGGAGATGCCCCCGAGTCTGCCTCTGAGCTTTCAGATGTAGCTCCAGAATGAGCCAACCCTTCTGAAGGTTGCATGATGTACATGTCAAGTGCTTGCCAAGGTCTTGGGCCCTTCAGGACAGAGGAAATGGCACAACATTTCTATATGACAAAAAACAAACCGGACCTGGGGCATTTCACTGCATCTGTCTCCTTCCCTGCAACTTAACTGGTATTTTCCACCAACACTTAGAGGGAAACATGCAAAAAAGAGTGGTTTCTTACTTCTTAAATTATCTTCTTTTTTTTCCTTTATGAAGTTTTAGTCCAACTGAAAACTCAAACAACTCTTTTAAGACTGTTAGGAGGAGGGATTAGGAAATCTGAAGGAGTTGCATCTTCTTCAAATTCAGATAAGTAAAAGTTGAGTCATTAAATCAGAGTTTTGTGTCTCCATCTGTGCTCAGTGAAGGTGTGTTTCTGTATCTCTAGTATTTGTTGATAAGAGAGCAGTTTCAAGAGTTCAAGTTTGAAGACACAAACACACACAGCATTCACCCCTCCCTGGGTTTCCATCCCCATCACAGGCTGGGGTCAGGCTGCATGAACTGGGCTCCTTTTAGACTCATTGAATCAACCAGGTTGGAAAAGCCCTTCAAGCTCATCCTGTCCAAGCCTTACCCCAGCACTGCCAAGGCCACCACTAACCCATGGCACTGAGGGACACATCTACACAGTGTGTGAACACTTGTAGGGATGATGACTGCAGCCCTGTCCTAGGCAGCCTGTTCCAATGCCTGAGCACCCTCTGGGGCAGGAATTGTTCCTCAGCTCCATCTAAACCTGCCCTGGGGCAGCTTGAGGCCGTTTCCTCTTGTCCTGTCTTTTGGAATAAAACAAACTGAAAATAGGTTTGAGGGGGGCAGCTGATGCAGTTTGACCTCCAGGAGGCTTCACATCCTGACTGGAATTATTTTAATCCAGACAAAGCTATTCTG